CGGGGGAGCCCCACCCCACCTATACGGACCTTACTGCCCACCATCCTTCTCAGGGAAGAATTCAGGAAGCCCCCAAGCTCACCCACCTGTGATAATTGGCTCGGGGCTGCTCGCCAGGAGAGTCCCTCCCCGCCCCCCCCCTTCTTCCTTTGCTTTTTCTGTTTTGTTTAAGGTTCTTTCTGCCCCTCCCTTTTCTCTCTCCGCTGTCTCCCCTCTATTACCTCCCCTGGTTTTGTTTTCTTTGGTAACAAGTTTTTATAGTTTATGTGACGTAGCAATCTTGGTTGCTGGAATGGCTGTCAGTATCAGTAGCGATATTTATCTCCTCCCGCCCCGGCTCGGCCGCTGGCCCTGCACTCTTTACCTTCTCTTCTCTTTGATCAGAAACAGGGTATATGAACAAATTTTCTAGTCGAGTTCTTCAATGTGAATTTGTTCGTACATTATGGCTCCCGAGGGGAAGCGATTACTTTTTTTTTTTTTATTTTTAGGGTTTTTTTTTTTGTTTAAAAATTGCACTTCTTGTAAAGAGCGGAAAAAAAAAATCAAAGGCGCTTTGAAACAGGGGCTCCCTGTGCAAGGATAACTAAGTGTACGTCTTTCCGTGTGTGTATGCTGGTGAACAGTCAGATTTATTTATATTTTTTTTGCAAGCATTGAATAAGTTTTAAATATTATTTATCCCCATCTGTTCGTATTTATATTAAAGAAATTCTGTACCCTGGTTGTTCAGAAGGTTTCTGGGCCTTTTGTTCAATGGTGTATTGGCGTACATAGGAAACATTTATTTGAAAGGGAAATATAATTCCTTTATAAAAACGGTAATGATGCAATAATACCAGAGAGGTTCCAGCTTTTGCAAACAGTGATTTCGGTTTGTAACATCCGACGAAACCGATAAATCAGTCTGTAAACCCGAAAAATGCTAGATTTGTTTTGAGAGTAATACATTCCTTGCTGCTCACATTCTGAGAAACAAAACAAAAAAAAAATAAAGTCTTTATTCTGAATAATATCCGTGTGCAGAAGGGGTTCTTTGGCTGAAGATGGGGATCTGCGTGGAATTCCGGCGGTGATGAACTGGCTGGGCAGGCCGCAGCAGCCCTCCAGGTCCGGCTTGGGGCTTGGTCAGGCGACTCGTGTGGGAGCTCGGCGGATTCTCGGAAGGCAGCCGGAGCTCTTAGCGGCAGCAGTTTTGGAACCGCCCAAGCGGCCAGCCCGTCGGGCTGCCTGGTTCCCAGCTGCCACGGATGCCGGCTGCGGGCTCTGGAACTGCTGAGTGCGGGAGAAACAATGGCTGGAGGCGCGGCGGGGCGCCCAGGTGCTCGAGAGGGCCCCACCGAGGAATCGGGCACGATTGTCTTCTCGGAGATTGTCCTCGGATCAAAGCTTTACATCCCACGCTTTAACCGGGGGAAGAGCCTGCAGCAAGGAAGATGCGGAGCACTTTCCAGGAGCAACCGGATTCCTCTGCGCCAGGAAGAAAGAATCACTACTAAAATCGCCACTTGGAGCTAGGCAGTTAGAAAGAAAGCGAAGCTCGCCCAGTTCTCCAGCAAAAGGACGACTGAGCTCAGAGAGGCCTCCCTGAGCCTTCCCTGGACTGCTCCAGCCCAAGCATGGACTCTTGCCGCAATTTAGGATTTGGCATTCTCAGAATTTATTTCCTCTCCTGTTTTCCTCTTATGGCCCCAGGGAGAGGGAGGCAGGAGATTGGAATCCTTCTAATAAAAAATGCAGTTTTGTAAGTACTTCTTTCATTTGATGCTCTAGGAGCTAACATTACCTTTCTGCTCCTGCATCGAAGACAGGCCTGCCTACTGACTGCTTGGCAGAGGCAAAGGCAGGCACAGGAAAGTTAAATATTTTCATCTTAAAGGATTGCTCCGAGAAGGAATCAAATTCAGAAGGTGCAAACCTCAGAACTGGACACCTCCCAAAGCTGGAGGTGAGGAACCACTTGCGTCTGGGGATCGGGAACATCTACTGTGAAAAACAACCCCCACCTCCCTTCTCCCTGGATTGAGGTGAAAAATGTCGCCATTTTGTTTGCAATTCAAAATATCTATCACCATGGCTTCTATCTCCCCCCTGAGAAGCTCCTCAGATGATCTTTAGAAACAGGCACTGGAGCTGAGTCCATAGAAGCTGCTTTTAGGAAACCTTATGTTTTAGGAAAAAAGAAAAAGTCTCAGAAGATGCAAGGCCAGGTGGCTGTAGCGATCTGAGTGTTTCTTCCACAGTGAGAGGTTCTCCCTCGCATCTGTCCTGGTGCTCCTGTATGTGTTTCTTTAAGTTTGGTCTGTGAAAGTAGATTTTCTCCCCATGCCACCCCACCCTCCCTATATGGCAAACCTTGGAAAGGCAGAGGCTGGACAGCCAGTCTTTGTGAGGACTGGAGCTTCCACCCTTTGGTTGTTCAGATCTGAAGTGTGCAGGCTGAACAACACAGGATTCTTAAGTAATCATTTTAGAGATATGTATAAAAATACCTGGGAAAATAAGGAACAGTGTGTGTGTGTGTGTGTGTGTGTATGAGAGAGAGAGAGAGGGAGAGAGAGATTCAGCAAGAACATCTTCTTTCAGGGATATCACTATTTGAACCCATTTCTAAAATCACCTCTTTAGCTGAGGAAGGAATGGTTAGGTTTCCTCCTTCCTTCAGGAGACAGATTCTAAAATGAGATTCTAATACGATTTCCCATTTCTTGCCAAAGACATTCATTTTGAATCGCCAAGAAAAAATCATTCTCACACCCAGCTTCCTAGATATTAAAAAGAAATTCTTATTAAAATGCCGCCTGCATTAAAGTAATAGATTTGGGAAAGAGTTCAGTGTTGAATGGTCAAAGAAAAGGGGTTTCTTCCAGATGGTATTTGAATTAAGGCTGCTGAGGAGAACAGAAAGCTCTCACCCACGCAGACCCTGACAAAGCCTCAGCGATATGGGGGCAGCGTTGCTCCCTCTCTGCAGCTCCCCCTCCCTTTAACCCCTCTAGATTTTCTGGTAAAAGCAAATGCTAAAAGCCACCATCCCAGATTCTGCAAAATACCTTTCCTAAAAGCAGCCTTATAACTTTATCCGCTTCCAAAAGATATCTTTAAAAAGACTAGTTTTCCTTGTTTACTTGCGTTTCCTGCTCTCTTCTTTGCTCGGCCACATTTGATCTTGGAAAGAGCTCGAAGCTGAAATGTGTTCTTAAGGGCCAGAAGCTGTCAAGGCTTTTGGTGAATAAGATTGATCGCGCCCAGACTTCCTTCAGAGCTTTGTTTGGAATAAAAGCAAGAAAACTGAAAAACTTCAGATTTTCCAAAATAGCATCTCTATCTGTGAGGCGATGCTCTGGGCTCCTCAATGACTGAGGCCACTTTATATCCAATTTCTAACCCAACCTCCCTTTGATGCCGGCCTCTGAGATGGAGTTCCACCCTTGCTCCTTGGTCAGCCTTTCTTGTTTTCTACTAGATTTTTCTTCCCAGCCAACCTCCCTCTCCCTGGCCATCAGAATGATTTATTTTCCTGCCACCGATGCCTGCCGGCCTGGGAGAGTCTGATCACTCAGTCCATTTCAAAGGATGCAAAAGCGAATCATCATGGGGTGGGGGTGGGGGTGGGGAGATACCTTCAGACTTCTCTCAATCTCCTTCGCTCTTTCTGGCTTGGTGGATTTTTTAAAAGTTATTGTTTGGCACCTAAAGGTGTTATTCTTTGAACCCTCCAGCACAGTTCAAGATGCACCCAGTCTCCAGTCTCCAAATTGGAAAACAGAGAGAGTGAATAGAGAAAGAGAACCTTTATCATTCCTCCTGAGTCACCTTCTCTCTTCCGCAGTGATGTTTCCCAGCACAGAACCCCAGCGCAAACATCCCTGGTGGCTAGGAGAAGGCTGGCGTGGGAGACGCTTGGGGCTGCTGGGGACCACTCTCTGCGTCTGCCTCAACCAGCCCCAGCCAGAGCCACAAGGATGAGGACAAGAGCAGGAAAAGAGAAAGGAGAAGAAGAACAGAGAAACGGGCACCTTCTCCCTCCCTGATGCTCACTTCCAAAACACTTCCTGGAAATCAGAAATACTCACCGCACCCGAGCCCTGGGGGTATGAAACCCAGAATGCCAGGAGCCGCACGCGCCTGCTCGGGGCGGCATTTCTTTGGCTGGCCGCCGCCCTGGCTACAAGGGTTTGGACACATGGACCCGGGGTGGCTGTCTCGCCTGGCACATGCCTCTATCTTTCTCCAGCCACTCCTGAAAAGTTGATGGAACAGGAAGGTCGGGGAGCTTCGAGGTCGCCTCCCGTTTTCCACTTCCCGCGGAGCCAGACGCAGAGCTGCCCAGGAAGAGCCGCCTAACAATGGGCCGGGGTCCCGGGTCCGGGGCGCAGACTCCGGGCTGGGCTTGGTGGGGGAGGTGAGGGGCTGCGGGAAGGGGGCGGGCAGGAGAGGTGGATGCAGGAGGCAGAAGGAGGAGGTGAGGAGACAAGAGGAAAAAAAAAGAGGAAAAGAGGGAAAAAACAGATCGAGAGGAAGGGAAGCAGAGACACAGAGAGATCAGTTCTCCAGGTCCAGGAACTGGCTTTGGGAATGAAAAGGGAGAAAATCCCCTTAAGAATCCTCTCTCTCTCTCTCTCTCTCTCTCTCTCTCTCTCTCTCTCTCTCTCTCTCTCTCTCTCTCTCTCTCTCTCTCTCTCTCTCTCCCTCTCTCCCCCGTCTTCCCTTTGCCACTCCTTTCTTCCTGCAGTCTGATCTCCTCTCTCCTCTGCTCCTTCCTCCAGCCTTAGCAGAACTTATGTGACTGGGATGCGGGGCCCTCGGGTGTCAAAACTTTGAAGATTAATGGATTACTTTGTTAATGACTGCAGGCGTCAGACCGAGGTGCTTAAATGATTTGTGAGGTGCGAGGCTCTTCCCGACAGTCCCAAACAATGCGCGGAGTGTGCGGGGGAGGCAGAGGGCGGCCGGCGGCGGGCCCGGCAGCCGGGCTCACCCTGGCACACGCACACACTCACACACACTTGCAGGCGCACACCCATCCTCGCCGGTCGGGAGGCAGCAGCAGGCTCCCTCGCCCCCACGCACGCCCAGGCATCCCCACCCACAGCCACATATATGTGTTTTTGCCCTGAAAAAAGTGTAAATAAAGCCTCACTGGCCCCCAATGAGGCGTTCCTTCCCGACTTTTTTGGATCAATCAAACAGACAGTGGCTTCTTTTGATTAAAGCCCAAATTGTCATTGGGCAGAAGCAATCATGTGACAGCCAATTCGGTCCAATTTCAACCTTGTCTCCATGAATTCAATAGTTTAATAGTAGCGCGGTCCCCATACGGCTGTAATCAGTGAATTAGAAAAAAAACACCCCAGCAGCGATCTTCTATGATAGATTTTTTTTTTCTTCCGCACTCGCCTTTTTCCCGGGCCTTGCCCCCCCAAAACCCCTCCAGAAGAGGGAACTTTTTCTCCGAGGGGGCTCCAAGGAGAAGGCCATGAATTACGAATTTGAGCGAGAGATTGGTTTTATCAATAGCCAGCCGTCGCTCGCTGAGTGCCTGACATCTTTTCCCCCTGTCGCTGATACATTTCAAAGTTCATCAATCAAGACCTCGACGCTTTCACACTCGACACTGATTCCTCCTCCTTTTGAGCAGACCATTCCCAGCCTGAACCCGGGCAGTCACCCTCGCCACGGCGCTGGCGGCCGCCCCAAGCCGAGCCCCGCGGGCAGCCGCGGCAGCCCAGTGCCCGCCGGCGCCCTGCAGCCGCCCGAGTACCCCTGGATGAAGGAGAAGAAGGCGGCCAAGAAAACCGCTCTGCCGCCCGCCTCGGCCGCCGCCGCCGGCCCTGCCTGCCTCAGCCACAAAGGTCAGTCCAAAGGCTCGGCCCCAGGTCCCCGAACCCGCTTCCCCCCTCGGGCTGCCCGAGAGCGGTTCTGGGGGGAGGGGAGCGTGGGCTGCGAGGGAAGGGGGAGATGCTTGGCTGCCTTCCCTTCCCTTGTGGGCTCAGGAATGGGGTTGACGGGGAGAAGAGAGATGCTGGGCTCCACCACGAGACGCACACGCACACATATATCTATTTAAGAAGGGGGGGAAACTTTCCCTAACTTGGGTAATGTGGGATGATTTATTTGAGTTGGAACTGACCTCCTCTTGTCTAGTTGTCCTAGAGTTTGGCTTTTTGACAGTAATGAAGAGTGATAGATCGCTCTTGCTCAGCTAAGCAGCTGATGCATTAATTATAAATTGTGGTGTGGCTAATATAAAGTTTGCTCCCGGATGGAGAGGTTGGGGGGAGCTCCAGGCGAGATTCTGGTGGAGGTGGAAGACGTGGGGTCTCCCCGGGCTGGGCTCCCAGGAAAGGCAGCACAATAGCTCTCCTGCATCCAGGGGCGGCCATTTTGTTGCAGTTGATCTTTTCTGCTATATTTATTCTCCAGTGGAATAACCCTGCTCGGACCCTTCCACCTCCGACTGTGCGTGTGTCTCTTGTTGGTTTCCCTTTCCGCAGAATCCCTGGAAATCGCCGATGGCAGCAGCGGGGGCTCCCGGCGCCTGAGAACTGCTTACACCAACACGCAGCTTTTAGAGCTGGAGAAAGAATTTCATTTCAACAAGTACCTTTGCAGACCCCGAAGGGTGGAGATCGCAGCGCTGCTGGATTTGACTGAGAGACAAGTGAAAGTGTGGTTTCAGAACCGGAGGATGAAGCACAAGAGGCAGACCCAGTGCAAGGAGAACCAAAACGGTGACGGGAAATTTAAAAGCCTGGAAGACTCTGAGAAAGTGGAGGAGGATGAGGAAGAGAAGTCGCTCTTTGAGCAAGCTCTCAGCGTCTCCGGGGCCCTTCTGGAGAGGGAAGGTTACACTTTTCAGCAAAATGCCCTCTCTCAGCAGCAAGCTCCCAATGGACACAATGGTGACTCCCAAAGTTTCCCAGTTTCGCCTTTAACCAGCAATGAGAAAAATCTGAAACATTTTCAGCACCAGTCACCCACTGTTCCTAACTGCTTGTCAACAATGGGCCAGAACTGTGGCTCTGGCCTAAACAATGACAGTCCCGAGGCCCTCGAGGTCCCCTCTTTGCAGGACTTTAACGTTTTTTCCACAGATTCCTGCCTGCAGCTTTCAGATGCAGTCTCGCCCAGTTTGCCAGGTTCCCTCGACAGTCCAGTAGATATTTCAGCTGACAGTTTTGACTTTTTTACAGACACACTCACCACAATCGACTTGCAGCATCTGAATTACTAAAAACATTAAAGCAAAACAAAGCATCACAAAACAAAAACCCCTCTGACCAGGTGGTTTTGCCTTCTTTTATTCTGAGAGTTGATTTCTCTTTTATTTTCCTCTTGACCTACCCTCTCTTTCCTTTAAATGTTGGGGATTTGCTGTTTAGTGATTCCCCTGACCCAGTTTCAGAGCCATCTTTAACAGATTTTTTTGAGTTTTAGTTGCTTTAAGTCGAAACCAACACCCCTCTATGTGATTTCCTGAAGCAATATACGAGGCCTGCAAGAAAGTGATCATATAATGGTATCTTCACTTTCTTTTTATTTTTGTATAACATTAGGATGCATTGTCATGCGTATTTTTGGTAGAATAAATTCTCCTTTGCTATAAGTAGCTTTCTTATTTTTTTTTCCTCCTCCTCTTTCTCCCAGCTCATAACGGTTTCTTTTTCCTCTTTTAGTCTAACTTGGTAAATAAAATTCTGGTCACAGTTTATTTTCTTTTTCAATTTTAATATATTTATTTAGTGGGCATGTTCAAAATCTTCAATCGACAGCAACAAAAAGAAAGCCAGAAAAATGGTTAGGGCTTCTGAGAAGTATTCTTTTTTTTTTTTTTCCAAGGGAATGGATTTCGTTTTCTCATTGCAGCAATTCAAGCCATAGATTTAAATTTGGTAATAGAAACTGGATTGGGCAGCCTCAGTATTGGGCCAAGCCCAAGCTTTTGAAAGTGGAGAAATAAAGTGCCTACAGAAACTCCCAACTCCAGGGAGGAGAAACATGGAGTTTCTTTAACAAGCCACCAGTGTCCAGGTCAATAACTAAGTTATCAACAATTCATTTATTTATACACATTTGTTTAAAACATCTACATTCCAATCCCCTCCTCCACAGACTCTCTGCCCCCGCCTCCATTTTCAGAGTGGTTGATCAGCCTCCCAGCTGTTGATGGGTCCAGGCAAACAGACCTAAAAGAGAAGAATGAAAAATAAAACAAAACAGTAGTTACGAGCGGGAAAATGCACTTCAGAAAGCATTCTTTTCAAACCTCTGGTTCAGTCATTCTCGGATTCTTTTTTCAGGACCAAAAAAAAAAAAATCAATATTTCATTCTTAAATCTGTTTACATAGCAAATAGTGGATCATTAAAGCTTTGAAGTCAGGTTAGCAAGTTGAGATTTAAAACGGAGTGTTTCTGCACCCTAGGTTATAAATTAACCCAGTTTCTAGAGAGAGAAACAGAGAAAAAGCACTTTAAATGAAATATCAATAAAACGTGTGTTACTAGGTTGTTCTGTTCCCCCCTTCTTATGTCTCCCCATATTTATTTTCCCCTTATTGAGCTATGTTCTGATGACTACTTACCGTGAGAAAACGCAGCGTGTAAGCAACATGTGTGGGGGGCGGGTTGATTTAAGAACCCAGCTCTTACTAGCAAAGGCTTGGAAGCTACAGTGAAATTTCAGTGTTTCTCCTTGGGTTGCTCCTGGCCTTTCCCCATCTCCTTACCCCCCAAATCCCTGCAGCGACAGGGGCGCGTGAGGACCCGGCGGTTCTCCAGCCCCAGACGCCGAGTGGAGCAGGGCGGCCGGCCGCGGCCAGGGCTGCGCGGCTGCTGTTTGCATTCGTCCTACGCTCATAAATCAAACGCTTTCTATGAATGAGAATGTCATCAAAGAGATCAATTGCAGGAACACATGCACAAATAAAAATCCTCTTACGTATTTGCCGGGGATTCCCGTCCGAAAGCATTAAGTTAGAAGGCGTTTAGTCATAATTCATTTTTATTGCTCTTTTAAAACAACAGCTTGGCTGAGCCGCGGATGCTAGGAACAGCTCCCGGCCTCGGCGGCGTTTTGTCTCCTCGCTCCTTCCCTTTCTAGTAGAAGAGCCCAGAAAGAGGAGCTTTGAGCCCAGCGAGTCGCTTGCAGGCTATCATTTAAATCGTGACCACGCTAGCCCTTCACCCACTGTCCCGTGACATTTAGCTCGAGTGGCGGGGCGCCGGCCTACTTCCCCAGAGGACCCCGGGTCTCCCACACCGCGGAATGAGCCCCAGGCTTTGGAGGTGGGGGAGGGGAGCGAGGTGGGGAAGGAACCCAGCTACGGAAGCCCGCGGGCGCGATGCCAGGGGAGGCTGCCTTTGTGATGAGCGCCGGGAGAGCAGCGCTCCGGGCGGCCGGCCGGGGCGGAGCTGGCGCCGCGGTGAGCACCCGGCCTGCAGGGAGCCGGGAGCCGCGCGCGGAGGCGGGTCGGTCGCCACCCGCGTGTCTGCGGGCCTGGGTGCGACCACGAGCGTGTGAACTCAAGAAGCAACTCCACCCATGCTGGCCTGAAAAGAGGCCAGGAAAAAGCTCCCCTCGGAGGTGGAAGGAGAGGAGCGCCGAGGCCGCGAACTAGCCGTGGAAGCAGAGCGGCTGCGGCTCGGCTGGGCTTTGTGGCGCCGGCCGGGCAGCCGAGAGCGTCGCGCACACCCCGGGCGGAGAAGGCCTGCAAAAGGATTGCAATAGGCTGGGGGTGGGCTGGGGGGTACCGACGACTTTTGGCTCGGAGAACAGAGCGCCCGCAATGCCAGCGCGGACCCTCCCCACGGAAGCTCCTTTCCCCTGCGCCCGAGGCTTGGCGCTCCCGAGGAAGCAGCCTCCTGGAGGACCGCCTTGCCTTTCCCCTTCTCCAGGATGAGGTTCCCCAGGTGCTGAAATTGGGGGCAGGAGTGTGCTTTTCTGCCATAGCTCTCTCCTAACCATACTTGGGGGAATGGGTCAAAGGTCACAAAGAAATACCATTCCAAAGGGAAATATTTAGGGAAACGATTTCTTTGCTACAGAGTGAGTCTGCATGCGTTTCTCCTCTTGGGGGGACCGGGCTGAGGGAACTTATATATGTGAAGAACAGAAGACAGAAATCTGAGAGGATGACTAACATTTGAAATCTGCCTGCCTCAAGCAAAACTCACCTCTAACGGGGGAGGGAAAACTAGAGGGGAGTAGGAATCCCAAATCCACATGCAACCTTCATATAAATTTCATCTGTTGGATTCCGATGTATTTCTAGTAAACTACAAAGGGTAAAACTTATATAGCACTGGCTGCGAAACTTCATGGATGATCTCTGGATTTCTTTTACCTAGGAAGACATCATTTCTCTGCCTCTGTTTGGCCTTTTCTGTCTATAAGCCAAGGGGTGACATGAGATCTAATAGTAAACAGCAATTAACGACCCAGTCAGCATCAGGGTAGGATGAGGGTGATGAAGAACAGGACCCCTGGCCTGGGACGATGCTCAGATTTGCTCTCTAGGGAGAGTTGAACGTTCACGCGAAGAACTAAGCAGTCAGTTACCAAGGGGAGGAGGTGGTGTTAGGGAAGAGGAAAGTGTCCTGTCCACCATCAGCCATCTGTCCACCGCCCCTCCCACCTGCCAGCCTCCACCCCCACTTCAGGCGTGCAGTAGAATGGGGGGTGGGTGGGTGTGTGGGTAGAGGAAGCTCTACCACTCCTAACGTCCCCCTCGAGAAAAAGAAATGTGGCTGGCTGGGGGTGGGGGTGGGGGGCGGAGTGGGGGGCGAGTTCAGTGTAGGTCGCAGGAGCTGTGGTCTGGCCCTTTGTGGCCCCAGCCAGAACACACTGGCTCCTGGGTCCCAGGGAGCCGGCAGATGGCCTGCAGCGCGCAGCACGGCCCCTACGCTGGCCACGTCCGCTAGCGTCATATTTCTCTAGCCCCCTCCCCTATCCCTCAAAATCCAGCCGCCAGAGTTGCTCCTGATACTTAGGGCTCCCGGAGCAAAACCGAGTTGGGAGGAGAAAGGGGCGGAGAGCGCGAAGAGAGGGAGGGGAAGGGCCTGGCCACCCCCGGCATTTTCCGGAGAGCTCTGCTCCAGGGCGCACCCGCTCCCGGGCATCGAATTACAGAAGCTCCTCATTGCCATGCTAATGGACAGAGGCGGGGGAAAAGCGGGGGGCTGGTGGAGGGAGGAGACTTCAGAGACCCTCCAAGGAGAAGGGAAGTTTCTTTACTTGCCCTCGTCCCCTCCACGCCCACCCAGGTGCCCCCCCAGCTAGTCCTTTAGAAGCTTTCGGAGCTTGGAGAGCTGGTGGCCCAGGCGAGTCCCACGCCACCATCCTCTACGCCCCGGGCGCCCCACAGCACCGCCGCAGGGAAGGTGCAGCGCGAGCGCGCGGGGAGCTGGGCGCGCGGGGCGGGCGGCTTCCTACCCTTCCTCCTCGGCGCGCTGCGGTCTCGGCTGGCGTGGCCGTGGCGGCCCGGAGAGCTCCGGGCCACCGATTCCCGACCCGAGAGAGCCGGGACCCGCTTCCCTTCTCACCTCTCGCCAGTTCATCTTTCTGCGCATGCTGGGGAGGGGGACGGAGGCGGGGGATGTTTCTGCGCCCCCACCCCCCGGAGGGGGGGCGGGCGGAGCCGGCGCGCGGAGGGCAGTCTCTCCTCCCCTTCGCCCCAGCGCCGCGAATCTGCCTCAGCAGCCACCGCAGCTGCTGCCGCCGCCTGGGCTGCCTGGGGGGGCGACCGCGCGTCACCTAGACCGAGGAGCGCCGGGGATTTAAATGCCACTGAAACGGCGATCCATCACCGCGGGAGCGAGCAAACTTTCGCAGGAGGCCCTGCCATTGGCCGGCACAGTCACGTGTCCTTCCCCAGGCGCCCTCCGCCCTCCCGCGCCCCCCCTCCCGCCCCCCATTTGCTCACTGTACATTCATATCATTTTTCTTCTCTGGCCCCATGGAGGAAGTGAGAAAGTTGGCACGGTCACCCAGGGCTTCGCAGGACCAGGTCACTCAGTGACAGATGGACAATGCAAGGATGAGCTCCTTCCTGGAATATCCCATCCTCAGCGGCGGCGACTCGGGGACCTGCTCAGCAAGAACCTACCCCTCTGACCATGGAATTACAACTTTCCAGTCGTGCGCGGTCAGTGCCAACAGCTGCGCCAGCGACGACCGCTTCCTAGTGGGCAGGGGAGTGCAGATCAGCCCGCCCCACCACCACCACCACCACCACCACCCCCAGCCAGCCTCCTACCAGACTCCGGGGAACCTGGGGGTGTCCTACTCCCACTCGGGTTGTGGGCCAAGCTACAGCGCGCAGAACTTTGGCGCACCTTACAGCCCGTACTCCTTAAATCAGGAAGCAGAAGTAAGTGGTGGGTACCCCGCGTGTGCTCCCGCTGTTTATTCTGGAAATCTTTCATCTCCCATGGTCCAGCATCACCACCACCACCACCAGGGTTATGCTGGGGGCGCGGTGGGCTCGCCTCAGTACATTCACCACTCATATGGACAAGAGCACCAGAACCTGGCCCTGGCCACGTATAATAACTCCTTGTCCCCTCTCCACGCCAGCCACCAAGAAGCCTGTCGCTCCCCGGCATCAGAGACATCTTCTCCAGCGCAGACCTTTGACTGGATGAAAGTCAAAAGAAACCCTCCCAAAACAGGTCAGTCTTGCCATTACGTGGATGTTCCTTGACGATTCTGGAAGGAGCTGGTATTAGTTTTCCGAGGAAAACTAATATAAATTTTAAAGTTCTTGTTTCCATCCGGTATTGGGGAGATTGCCCAGGTGTGTCGAGGCAAAGGAGGGAATGGGACCTTATCTTTCCAAAGGGGCTGAGTTTTAGAGGTTCTGGAAGTAGGAAGTGGGTAGGTCTGTGTGTGTGTGGGGGGAGTGGATTTGTTTGGGGGGTCGGGTTCTGCTAATATCTCCAGGCTCCATTAATCATCGGTCTGACCATGCTAATGGTTGACTTTGGGTTAACACTTTACACCTCATCACTCACCCTCCCTAGTCGGGTTTGTGTAGAGAAATTCTTGATTTCCCCTTTAGCTGAATGTTGCGCTGAGGCATGGAGGGGTCTCATATAGATTGTAAAATCTTTACCGCTTTCGCTCATCTCTTCCCACTGTGCCCCCAGGGAAGGTCGGAGAGTACGGCTACGTGGGTCAACCCAATTCAGTGCGCACCAACTTTACCACCAAGCAGCTCACGGAGCTGGAGAAGGAGTTCCATTTCAACAAGTATCTGACGCGCGCCCGCAGGGTAGAGATTGCCGCGTCCCTGCAGCTCAATGAGACCCAGGTGAAGATCTGGTTCCAGAACCGCCGCATGAAGCAGAAAAAACGCGAGAAGGAGGGTCTCTTGCCCATTTCTCCAGCCACCCCGCCGGGAAGCGACGAGAAGGCGGAGGAATCCTCAGAGAAGTCCAGCTCCTCGCCCTGCGTTCCTTCCCCGGAGTCTTCTACCTCAGATACTCTGACTACCTCCCACTGAGGCAGCCCCAGTTCCAGACACCGCAGCCCAGGCTACTCTTTGGGCTGGTACTTCTTACCCAAAGCACATTCTTAGCTTATCTTCCTTTCCATTTACAGGCTCTCTCTTTCTTTCTGATCCTATCTGGGGAGCTCCTGGCCAGGATAATGTGTTTCCAGAGAATTCTGTTCTAGAGGCTTAAGGGGGTGGGGTGGGGAAGGATGTTAAGTCTTTAATGCAGGTTGGGTGCCATCGTCAAATCTTTGATGGCCCCTACCGCTCCTCCCCTGCCTTTAGGAGGTTTCCACAGAACCCACTTTCCTTTCAGATACCCTTTGGAAAATAATCACCTTTGCCAGCAGAAACATGCCAGAAGGAGGCCTCTCATCTTTGATGTATCTGTATATTTACAATTCCCCCCTACCTCGCCCTTAAAGTGGGCTAGAGAGAGCGTGCAGGAGCTCATGAAGAAGTGATGCACTAGGAGCGCGTTTACACAATTCATCCCTTAATTTAATTCACTTTCATGTGTGAGTTTGCTGGTTGTAAATACTTTGTTCTGAGAGATTTATCTTTATACAGATTTTCTAGCAATGTTTAGAGTAAGTGACTGAAACAGGGTGGGCAAACTCTCAAAAGCTGGTACAATTTTATATGTGGTTATAGGTGAAACTCACATGCCTCAAAAGGTAGCCTCCACTTGTTCTTTCAGTGAGTTAAGAAGGCCTGAAGAACCCAAGGTTCAGAAACTCAGTTTCCTGTGCTCTCTCCTCATCCATACCCCTGTCTTGTTTCTCTGGCCATGCTCCATTTAAAATTTGTGCTGGGCTATTTCGGTACCTAAAGGTGTTGTCCAAACCAGCTTTTTTTCTTTCACAGTTATCTGTGCTGGATATGATGTCTTTTCAGCTCAATTGTTCATGTGATGGATGGCACAATGAATGTATATTTTGTGTGATTCGTGAATAGTCTTTTGCATGTCGCACAATGTTTTGATGTCCCTGAAGGACCACACTGAGTTCTATCAGTTACCCTTTGTGAGCCTGTGATATTCCCTATTTCCTGTACAATCATGAACAGCTCTGAGATCGTGGACTGATGTGATCCAGAGCGGACTTTACGGGTTTTAAGATGTCTGTAATAAATATATTCAAGTTTCAGATACGCTTAAGCATCTGTGTATTTGGCTTGGCTACAATTTGCTGGTTCCTGCAATCTTGGCTTCTTTCATGTGGGGAAAGACAGAGAGGGTGGTAAGCATTTTCAAAGAGGTGTGCCTTTCCTTGAAAGAAAAAAGCAAATGCTTTTCAGTAGTTGCTGAAGCTTCCCCTATGGATGTAATCGCACCTAACCAATGTCTTTATTTAATGGGCTGATTTTCTTTAAAATAACAACAGCTCCTCTATTATAATCAAAATCAAAGTTCATAGTGGAAAAAAGGAATGGTGAAGAAATTTATGAAGCAGATCTATTTTTGAAACAAACGTGGATACTTCCTGGGTCAAGTACTAACCTTTTCACCTCCAACTGAATGTTGACGTGTATATAAACAGAACCCCCTTCAAAAGCCCAAACTCCTCAGTCAGTCTTTCCTCACATCAGTGAACCAAGAGTTAAGAGATTCACATTTAATTAGCTGCTGTATAAAGCTGTTTAAGAATGGGGCCCCTATGCCACCACTCTTACTTCCTTTTGGACTGTCAAGCAGTGTTCCAATATATTCCATCTTTTAAATTGAGTGTGATCTGTTTTCAGAAAACCCTTGTACCCCTCCCCCCATCCCTCCTGCCAGTATTCCTCCCTTCCCTGCCACTCCCTCCCCCTCCTCCACCCATCTCTGGGTTATACATGGCTTCCCCATCAGGCTCTGCTTGGATTTCCTAGCCATCAGAGCTATAATGGGTCCCCAGTTTTAATTCCATGCCATATAGCCCAGAGAGAAATGTTTTTATCTTCTCTGCACACAACACATTCTTCCAGGTGAACTTGTGGAAGTCACCCTGAAATCTCTTAATACTCAAGTTGCTTCTGAACAAGGCACGTGTCTGCTCTCAAATAGAAGAAGCCAGCAAATCAGAGTCCAGAATGACCATCCTCCTGGCCCTCTTACCGGTTCTCCTTTACTTTCATACATTTTTGAGGCTTTAATTTAGCCCCAAGAGTAGAGCAGAAATTTTACAGCATCACAAACAAATGCAGACATACAACTTCCTTCCTCTCCAAAGGGAGGTTTACAAAGGATGGGCTGGGCTGGGTAGGCAAAATCCTGCAAATGCTGGGAATTTGCAGACCTCCTAGCATACCCATGAGATTTCCTGTTACTTCCCTGTCAAAGGGGGAGGCCAGCCTGCACTTTGTGGGCACAGTTGCTGCGGCCATATCACGGCAGCGCAGGGGTGCCCTCCCCTGGACTCCGGGGTTCTGGGGTTGCCTCTAAAAGACTGAAGTGGAAGGAGAACTTCAAAGCCGGCCAACTCTTTCTTTCATTTCCCCACCAGGCCTTATACAGTATCTTTTGTTTATTAGTGTAAGGCCACACAGCAAAACAGATGGCTGGTTTCCAAATACTTTAATGTGTTAAAGTGTCATTTGCATACCACTGCCCTGATTTCAATATCTAAAAGCAGGGACCGACCTGCTGGAATCCTGGAGATTCCAATCTTTAAGGTGCTGGTTTTAATGTAACTGAGAGACAGGAGGCACGTAAATTACCGTGAAACATCCCAAGCCTTCTCTAAGGTTGAGGAATAAATCAGTTAACAAGCAATGCATTTAGGAAACATTAATATCCCTTTCAACGAGGAAAACATTTGTATCTTTTTAGTTGCCCCAATCGATTAAATCAAAGGTGCTTAACACATCCTGTTTCAAGGTTTCTCTTTTTCTTTTTGGTCTCTGAGAAACACAGTTAGTTCCTTGCAAAATGACAGCGATGGTAACTGAAACGAGAAAATAGGGAAAACAGAATAACATTTAATTGATAAATTTAAAAAGGACATCAAAGGTCTCAATTAGGAACTTGGGATAATTGCCTATAAAATTGCAGCTTTCAAATGCTTCTTTCTTACTTCCTTCACATTCATTCAAATTTACTACCAAAATTCAGGGTGTCCCCAAACTAGGTTGAGTTGAGATCTTGCTGTGGCTCTGAAGCCTGCTCCCAGCTTCACCTTTGAAAGTTTACTTTTGGAGGCTATTCAGATGCCATGGTGTTTTCCTCTGGGGCAATCAGATTCAAACCGATCAATATTTACTCAGTCTGAAAGGGTTGTTGAAAAGGCTGCTAACAACAAACTGCTTAGCTGCTCACCCCTGTTTAATCTCAGGTTCACCGAAAGTTCAAGAAGAGATGAATGCAGTGATGGGTCACTTTAGAATGAGTCCCAGCGGTTTATCTGAGCTATCCGCTAAGGGAAACAATTATAGTTCCATCCCTCTTTGGGTAAGGGGCAACTTTCCTATTATTCTTTTGCTAAACAGTGTTTACTAGAAACTTAAAACACTTTCTTTTCCCTTCCTGGCTCTTTTTTCTTTTTTGGGGGGGGGGGACAGGGAGGAATTTCCCTTCTCTCCCATCTTCCTCTAGCTTTCTGTCACCCCACTAGGTTTCATTTCACTTAAAACAAATTACATTGAATATTTAAAACATGTTAAATTAGGCTGACAGAAGCGATCCGATTTATTTCAGATGCCAAGAGCTATGAAACGAAGCTTTTTGGGCCATTAGAGTTTATCTTCTTAGTGAAAGTACAGGGCAAGATTGAATTGAAATCCATTTGTGTTTGAGTAATATCGACAACCAGAGCCCCAATATCCATCTGAGATGACTGTTTAGACAGGAGTTAGGGGTGGGGGGAGAGTAGGGGAAATTGACTTGTGCAGAAGCAAATATCTCAGGTGGAAAGTCAACTTTAAATTTTATGCCCTCCTAGTGCATGAACTACTAAGAGATGAGAAAGGAAGACCCAAGAAGTCAGTGGGGAAATGCTGGACACTGAAGCTAATTGCTACAGCTCTTCAGAGGTCAAAGTTCATGTAATCACTGCATAAATGCATACTAAATAGGGATTTATTAAGCTTTTCTGATGGCTGAGCACGTCTGTGAAGAAACGGTCACTGCTGTTTATGTTTATTCTGGAAGAATAATCATTCTTGCAACAGAAGGTCTAAGAGTTTGAGTCTTTAATTTACTATATTGAAAGACAGGCAACCCTCTATTTTAAAATTTTGAAATCAGTACATGGATAGAATCTTTCTTTATCTTGGATGGGACAGCGAAATACATCTCTCACTCTTAGGAAGACTGTGACTTTTTCAATACACACAAGAACACAAGTTAACATGTCCCTATCAGATAAAATGCCAACTAAATAACTAACTTTGGTGACCCTCTGCTGTAGATAAGCCTACTTTATACCTGTATTTCTGAGAGCACACAAAAGTTCTGCCACAGGATTTCCAATGCTTAGAGGACCAGAGTTGAAAGAGATCCAGTTACCCAATTTCTCTTTGTATGACTCATGGGGACAAGAAACCCAGGGGTGCATTGATTTCACTTAGAGCACATAATATAAGTGCTCCTACTTCCTAAACAAAAACCAAGGTGGCTTAGAACCTAGGATCAGTATATGGTTTGACTCTAACTTCCTGATTTGATTTTGCCCTTCCCTCTGGTTTATTCCATGTGATTTTATTTTCAAATTGATTATTGTTTACTGTTTTCCACTTCTGGTTTATTAGCTATGGACTCAGTCAAGTTCTTGATTTTGAAGCCACCAGGATTATTGAACCTTTGAAACAACCTCCCAGTTGAATGTTTCTGACATCTTGTTTGAATAATAACATGTTGGGCCACATGCTGTTAAAGACATATGTTCTTAAAGTATAAAAAATAGAGATAGACCAGGAAAATTTCACACACATTTTTGTTGTTTTTGTTTTTGAACCTAGAGCTGGGAAAGATAAATGAAAGAGTTGCCTTTGCCTGCACCCAAGTTCAACCTCCATTAAGACGTCAAGAGATATCAGCTAGAAGGGGCTTAGAGATGCAAAGAACATTTCAGGAGGTTTCCTAACCGTTGGTCTGTTTCATTTGTTTCATACCTTGGTCTGTTTCATTTGTCTGGTTCGTGGCATAATCTCCTTAGTTGTTCTGGTCCATTATTTCTTACTTTCTTGACCATTCACTCTTGTACCTAAAACACACACACATTTCATGTCCCCAAATTATCGAAGTTTCATTGCAACACAAATTTCCACATTTTTCCTCATCTTATTCAGTGGGGCTTACTGATCTCAGAAGAACCTGCTCAAATGACATCAATGACTGTCAGTGTTTTGAAGAGTTGATCTGGAATCCCTAGCGTTTTACAGGCTTATTTTTAATAACACCAGTCATCAGCTATTGCTGACCTTCAAAGGCAGAACTGCATACCAAATATCAATCAAGCAACTCTGCTCCAGAGAGGCTAGCCTTTTTTTTTTTTTTTTTTTCTTTTTGTCAATCCTAAACCTTCATTACATCTGCACAATATTCTGGAAAGTCCGCATTTTGGGTTCATTGGAAAGAAATGAAAAGACCAAGGTTTCCTTTTCAACATTTCCAGACACGTTTTAAAAACTGTCCGTTAAATTTTTTCTTATTAAAAATGTGTTTGTAAAAAAGGGCAGTCACAAGGAGAAATCAGTTTTTGGGTTTTTTTTTTTTTTTTCGCTTTCAGTTTAGGCGTCGATGGCTACTAGGTTAAGAAAAAGAAAACACAACTGCCTGAAACAGAAAATAAAGGAAAAGTGAATGACTCTTTTCCCTATATTAACTGGAATACTTTTAAACTGCTTTGGATATTTTACAAATTATGGCCTGTTTCTTAAAAAAAAAAAAAAGCCACAGAACTATAACGAGAAAGCAAGCAGAAAGCAATGATTTTATATGGTAGGGACGCTCTTCCCGGTGCTAACTCCCCCCCACCCCCCATTATCAGCATCGCGGTTCTGGGAAAGTATGAGCGGGTATTTTGCATCATGAGGAACAAATGTGGGCCTCCCTTCAGCACGCAGGAGGCAGCTGCGGAGCCAGGGCAAGAGCTCCGCCCGGGCGGCAGCTCGCCGGGGCAGCGCAGCAGCGCCCACTCCGCTCCGCCGGCGCCGTCG